CACAGGTGCATGAACAAGAGATTCCATCATGTTCCTCTAAACTGCAAGAGCTCAAAATAGGTGATGTGGCTGTATTCTCTGCTGCGTCCATTCGTCGTAGCCTGATCTTTTCCTCGCTCACGAGATTGGAAATTTTTGGGGATCATAAGGTGAAGAGCTTCACGGAGGAGCAAGAGGCCCTTCTGTTTGTCAACTCCCTCGAGGATATCACTTTTTGGTCCTGCAGCAACCTGCACTCCCTCCCTAAACGGCTGCATAGACTTCCCAACCTGAACAGGTTAGAGATCAGGAGCTGTGAAGCAATCCAGATAGTACCCAGTGATGTCTTCCCAAGTTCACTGCAACAGTTGGAAATCGATGATTGTCAAGAAATCCGGTCACTACCCAAGGATTGCCTCCCAGATACACTGCAAATATTATGTATCAAAGAATGCCCAGCCATCGAATCGCTGCCCGAGGTGGATGACCTTCCAAGTTCGCTGCGAGTACTAGATGTCAGTGAAAGCGAAAGCGAGGAGCTAAGGAGTCACTGCCGCAAGTTGATAAATATCATTCCAAGTGTCAGACTTGACTAACCCAAGGTAACAAAGAGGCGGAACTTCCCAGCCATCAATTTCCCTTGCTTCTCCCTCACCCCTTAAACCTCAGTCATTCTTGTTTCGTTTATTTGACCACAATTAACGTTTTCTTCTGGGTAACCCGCTCGTTTCCATCTGCTGTGCAGGGCATTTCTTCATATTGTGTATTATTCTGTCCTCAGGATTCTCTCTATCTATTCACAACTTTGAATTATAATAAAGTATGAATCTCTGCGCATGCCTTCCACCCTATAAATCAAACTAGTAAGTGCCTGTAAAATAACCTCTGTAGTCTCATACAGCTATTTACATGTCAGAACGTTTGCTTATTTGCTTATTTGCTTATTTGATGCTTGATCCAGTTGTTTATGCATTTATTAATGCCTTTTGTTTCATGTGTAACAATAGCCTAAATATGTTTTCGATCAGGTGAATATGTTTATTGTACTCCTGCCTTGCTCTTCTGAAGCTCAGAAGATTTATTGAAATATGGATGCTGCTGTATGTTTTTTTTTCCTAATCAATGGTCTGCACTCTTACAAAAGCCAGTTCTAGCCTTCCCATGTCTCTTGGATCTGAGAAAAAATGATTGGCTCTATTTCCAGTCTTCTAGACAAGGTAACAGCCACATTTTAAAAAGTATGCTCTGTTTATGTTGAACATAATTGTATATACTCATTCCCCTGCAATCCAATAATGCATAAAATTTGTTGGCAGAGGATTGCTTTGATTCTCAAGTGATCTAGCAGTTTAGTAATGCTCTCAGCTTGTAAAACCTTCTTCAACTATTTCTATGTTGACTTGAGGGCCTGAGGTACTGCTGCAGGAAAAAATGCATCGCTTTGCTTTTAACTCTGAAACTTCATATTGGTTCTTAGCTCTAACACTTGAGAGTTCTGAACTATACTATTCTTATTTCTTTTTTGAAGAAAGGTGTAACACGGCTGTTGGGAGGGGGTGGCGGTTATGGAGGAGGAGGGCGGCGGCTAGGGTTGGCAGCGTGGGGAGAGGAGGGCCGGCGCAGGGAGAGCGAGAAGGGGTGGCGGCAACAGAGAGGGAGGAGCAATAGCTCTATTCTTGCTTGATTAGATTGATTACATCATCCCTATATTTATAGTCCCTACATGACTTGTATTCCAAGCAACTAAGAGAGATATCCTTATAGATTGGATTCTCCTTTCCTAGACAAACCAAACTCTAATCTCCTAGTTTACTTCTTATTCCTGTTTTTATTCTTCTAATTCCTTCCGAGAGAAGGGAGGCGCAAAGGTGGCACCGCTGCTCTTGGGCGCGGGCCCCCTTCCTGGGCCACGGCTGGGCCAATGGCCCTGGGCTGGGGATGTGCTAATGGACGTGTTACAATAGGACTGATCTGTTGCTCCAACGTGGTATTTTCTATTCTTCTTAGATGCACTTGTTAAATTGCTCAACTGAGTGAGTGTAATGGACCTATGTCTGTATGTGTTCCTCACCACTTGCAGGCATTCCAATTTCGATTCGGTAGAAACAGGAGATTACACTGACATTGTCATGCTACTATTCCTTTTGCAAAGAATCTGGAGTCACATATTAACCAAAATAATAATATGCCAATTCTTTTCTTTTTAGTGGGATGGCCAAAAACAATGCAATTCTCATCAAATAAAGCACAAGATAAGATGAAAGTTGTTGAATCATGCTACAGTGCAAAGTATTTGCTTTGCCCACGTCTCAATGACTATTGAAGCTTCAGAGGTGGGCAGCCAAAAAAAACATTTAGTTTTGATCACTGAATTTCCAAATAGCAGACAATTCTGAAACTGTAATATATTTTTCTGAAGTATCAAACAAAAACTGTAAAACAATTGATGAAGAATGACTAACTAAAAACTTGTGGAACTTTTTACATGTAAAAATAACATGATTCTATTTCATTACGAAGGTATATTCTTAAATATTGCTGAAAGAGTGGAACTGTTTTCCCGGATGCTGCTGCTCAGACATTGCTGAAGAATGTTTATTTGGTCACAATTGATCTTTTCTTCTGGGTAAAACGCTTGTTCCCATCTGCTGTGCAGGGCATTTCTTCATATGATACATTATTCTATCCTCTGGATTCTCTCCCTATCTATTTACAGTTCTGAATTCTAAAGCATGAATCTCTGGATGTGCCTTCCACCCTGTACCTCAAACTGGTAAGTGCGTGTAAAATCACCTCTGTAGTCTCATACAACTATTTACATGTTCAGCATGTTGCTTAGTGCTTATTTGATGCTTGTTCTGGTTATTTCTGTACTTTTCCTTTATTAATGTCTTTTGTTTCGTGTCTAACAATAGTCCTTTATATGTTTTCGATCAGGCGAATCTCTTTAACTAGTACTCCTGCCTCGTTGTTCTGAATCTCTGAAGATTTACTGAAATATGGATGCTGCTGTATGATTTTTTCTAGTCAATGGTTTACCCTCTTAGGAAAGCTAGTTCAGCAATAAATGGATTCAGTCTTCCCATGTGCCTTGGATCTGAGAAAAAAATGATTGGCTCTACTTTTATAAAAGGTAACAAAAACATTTAAAAAATATGCTATGTTTATGTTGAATATGATTCTTATATACCCATTTATATTTTATCAATTTGAAAACTTATATCCTGTATGACCCTTTTTTTTTTACTTTTTTCATATTATGTGCAACTGTCTTCTTGCATTGCATCTCAAAAACCTGCAATCCAATAATGCAGTAAAATTCGTAATCAGAGGTTTGCTATGATTCTCAAGTGATCTAGCATTTAGTAACACCCTCAGCTTGTAAAACCTGCCTCAACTATTTCTATGTTGCCTTGAGGACCAGAGGCACTGCTGTAGAAAAAATAAACGCATCGATTTTCTTTTGACTCTGAAACTTCTTATTGGTCCTTACTCCTTAGCTCTAATATTGAATAGTTCTGAACTCTACTATTCTTATTTCTTTTCTGAACATAGGTCTTACCTGTTGCTCCATCTTGGTGATTTCTATTCTTCTTGGATGCACTTGTCAAATCGCTTAACGATTGAGTAATGGACGACCCTATGTCTGTATGTGTTCCTCACTACTTGCAGGCATTCCAATTGGAGCAACGAAACAGGAGATTACACTTACATTCTCATGCTAATATTTCTTTCGCAAAGAATCTCCATTAGAACCACTTATTAACCAAAATAATAATATGCAAATTCTTTTATTTTTAATGTAACAGCAAAAAACAAAGCCAGTCTCATCAAATAAAGCACAAGATAATATGACAAGCATCATGCTACAATGCAAATTATTTGCTTTGACCACATCTCAATGACTATTGAAGCCTTAGAGCTAGGCAGCCAAAAAAACATTCAGTTTTGATCATTGAATTTCCAAATAGCAGACACAATTCTGAAACTGGAATATTTTTCTCGAGTATCAAACAAAAACTGTAAAATAATTGATGAAGAATGAACAACTAAACACTTGTGAAACTTTTTACATGTAAAAAATAACATGGTTCTATTTTATTATGAAGGTATATTCTTAAATGTTACTGAAAGAGTGGAAATGTTTTGCTGGATGCTGCTGCTCAGCCGTTGTTGGGCTTGGGTAGGCGTAGGATCCTTTGTTCTGGTGGTGGTCTGTGGAGGCAGAGATGGCTGTGCAGCTTCCATGGGCTCCTGCGACATGTTAAGGTGTTCCTTTGGTGTGGAATAGATGCCTACTGGAGAGATTGAAATCAGTTTTCTATGCTGCTTTGGGGGTAAGGCCAAAGATAAGAAAAACAATTAGAATCTCTTTCTATGAATTTCTGCCAATTTGGTTTCTTCCACAGCTATGGAGCCTTCTTGTGCTAGATGAATTCAACCACTTGTCAACTGAAATGCTGACTTACTCAACTGAAAGGAGGTCAGTTTGTGTCCAGATGCTTCGAGCCGAAGGTTTTACCAACCAAATTACATTGTGATCTTGATAATAATGCAACAGCAATTCATGATATGTACATCCAGTGATCATCAATCATTGAATTATCAGCATGCAACTCTGAGCTCTCAACAACTGAATGACAGGAGCCTTTCCCCTCTCCCTCACGTAAGTCTTCTGTTTCCCTTGTCTTGTGCCTACTTTTTTCCATACTTTTTCATGCGTGCCAAGTGACACTGAATGGAATGATCATGAATATGGCAGCATCTTTATCCCCATGCGACACATCAGCTTCGTCTGAAGCTCCATGTGTGGAGCAAGCATCATGAGGCTTCCTACTAAATGGTGCTAACTGAAGTTTTGTCGGGTTTTGGAATGCATCCCATGTTGAGGATATCAGCATCATCAACCCTGCCTTTTCTTTGTTCTCTATTTACTTTGGAGACAAATGGAAAGCATGGTCTTCAGGCTATAAGAAGAGTTCTCATATATTAGGCAGATACATAGAAGGTATCTTCTAGATATGGCAGCTCTGAAGGTGAAATCAGCATTGTGCCTCAGCCTGCTGATCATGACACTCCTCTTGGATCCAAGTAAGTCCATCCTTAGACAAACAGGGCTAAATTTTATAGCACATCGAAGGCTTTACACTCCAATTTCATAGAACAAGATTAATTGTTTCCAAAGAAGAACAAGATTAATTGCTTCCAAGCTATCTGATTCTTTCTTGGCGGCAAATTAAATTAATTTTTCAAACAAAACAAATGAAATTATTAAGTTGTAACTCTTGATGGTAAAAAGGTATGTTTTAATTTAGTAATATTTTTGCTCTCTATTGCAGGCTGTGGGAATAAGGAAGCGTGTGACGAGTGGTCAGATGATACATACCGGATGCTGCTCCTGTGTAGCAGCAAAACATGCAGCAAGCACTGCATTGGCGAGGGCACCACCAGGGGGAAGTGTGGCTTCCTCATCTTCAGGTCCTTCTGCTTCTGCACCAAAGAATGCGACTGAACACAGTCATCTGAACTGCAACTGTGACTTGCCATTTTCAGCTGTAATGATGACTTGCTGATGATTAAGAGCAAGGTTGTGATCTGTTGTGGCTACTCAGATCTTTGAATGAATCAATAAACAATAAATCATTTTGCCAAATACTTGTGGATTTCGGTTCATTTTCCATCTAGTGAGATATATTGTTCCGTGCACTACTCTTGCGCCATGACAGTGGTGGTTTAAAGCATAGGAGTATGTTGCAGTAAGTAGAATCGATATTTAAACTTCACTTTTTTAGTCGTTGGAAGTGTAAGATATAATCTGCTGCTGATCCCTCTCTGATTTCCTGCGCAACAGAGTTGGCACTTTGGTCAGCTCTTTGCTGTCCTTAATCCTGTTCAAGTATGGCAATAGGCCATCACTTGTACCAGGCTGTATTCTAGGTAGTAGTGGCTTAACTCAGCCATGTCTTAGTAGTTGAGGCTGACATCGGCCATGTCCTAGAGGACATTGTAGTAGGTGTACTAGTGTACCTTGTAAGGTACTAGTAGATTGTATATATACTACACCCAAGGCAATGGAAATCTTAGTTCAGTTTGCCACATTCAGTTTTCAGAGCTCAGTTCAGAGCTGGTGTGTGCTGTGTGTGTGCTCTTGCTCAACCCTTTCTTCTACCTCTAGCCGTGGTGTGTGTGAGTGAGCTGATTGCTCACCTGTGCAGGGAGATCGAGGGCCAACAGGAAGGTCCAATTCATCATATCGTTGTTTGGACCATGCTTACACAAGTTGCTGATACCAAATACAAGCATTGTTGACAAGAGAGACCCATGCACAAAGATATGCATACTGCTTTTATTCTGCTGTTGTTCAGGCAATGCTTCAGCGTCTTCCAACTCAGAATGCTACTATTTGCAATGGGAAAACCAGATCTACACTTTCTGTGTTTGATGAGAGCATGCACATTTGCAACAATCTCAGTAATCAAGCAAAACCTGCCGAAAAAACATTGCAAGTACATCCAGATTGCTGATCCACCCCCCCCGCCCCCCCCACCCCCCCACCCACACCCACACAAGTCAGCAGGTGCACAAATGCAAAATTGATCCATGTTAAAAACAGCAAACTTTATTGATCAATCCGAATGTTAAGACATAGTTCCCACACTATATATGGACAACCAGCTAAGCTTATAAAAATGAAGCGGTTCACAGACACCATTTATCATGCAGTAACATTCTGCATGAGCCTACATAACAAGATCATCTGCAATAGCGCAACAAAGATGTTTCAGATATTCAAAGGTGCTATCCTCAAGTGAAACAGAGCCCATTCTGTTGGAGATTTCAGTCTCAGAGGCATTATCAAAACCAAATTTGGTGTGGTAAACAAAGTAGCCGCCACACTCCCTAGCAGACAGACAGCAGCCAGTAACCAGATTTTTCACCTTATAAACCAAGTATTAGATATTCACATGTTTCCATTCAATGGTTGCTGAAATAAAATTGTCTAGAAATGGAATGAAAGGTTTAATAGATTTTACCTGCGGAAACAAGAAAACCTTTGTGCCATTGTTGGAAATCAGCAGGCTGTATGCAGTAGCATTGTCATGCAGAGAAAAGGATATTTCACTAAGAACACCGACAAGTGTTTTTAGGTTGGTGCTGGTGAACACAAGAGCTTTCAGGGGGTAGTCAACTGTTTCAGACACAATAATGTCTGATCCAGCCTTTCCATCATATACCGTGAAAGTGGAGGCAGACTCCACTGGTAAAGGGATTGCAAAGTAACATGCCTGCAAGATGAGACAACATGACACTGGATTCTCCTCAACCATCTACTGCAAGAAGCCAAACAGGTGATTTTACCATCTAAACAAATCTTACTACAGAGAACTTGTCTACTCAGAGGTAATTTATTATAATAGAATATTAGAACCATTGCTCAAATATATGCCCAATCTGCCTTATGAACTTTACACATGGCCAAAAAGAAGAAGAATAGAAGCAACAAAGGGAATACATTTATTGAGGTACACTGTAACGACTCATTGTGGTATAAACTGCATAACGATGGTTTAATGATAACTGATGAGTTTATACTGACAAATAGGGTAACTCTATAAACATATAGATGAAATAAGTTGGAGATTATAGGAACTGGAAATAGGTAAACATTACCTGAAAAATCATGTGACCTGACACTATAGATGTTCCATTGTCAAAGAAAACCCTGAATGCTGCATTATTTACTTCAGATGAAATTTTTGTAGCCAGTCCAATCATCCTTTTGGCCCAATAGCAAGATAGTTGATTGATTGCACTTGGGACCAAGAAGATATGACCATATTCAACAGGATATGCCTTCAGGGAGAAAAAATGCAGATACCAACTAGCATGGAGCAAGGAAGGGAAGGCAGATATTTGTAGCAACACTAAACCGTACATTTGCAATCACAAGTAGTCCATCCTTTGGTAGTGATACTGAAGAAACAACCTCAGGTCTATCATTTTCTCCTTGTGAAATGCCCAGAAGCAATCCATCATAACTCTTCATACTATTTGGCTTCAAGCATGCGAAAGACTCAAAGAACTTGTCGTATTCCTTCAGTGAAAATGAATCCCATTTATTGTTCAGCTGACCCACAAAATTTCTTCCACCTGCAATGACCTGTACAGCAGTTCAAATTTGATGATTCCAAACAAACTCAGTGCCACCGTATTGTAAATAGGGTCGATGGAGCAGTCATAGTTTTTGACAGGGAAATATAATAATACCATTTAAATTTCACAATTATCAATGCTCTATAGTATATCACAAACCCCCTGACAGCCAACACACCTTTCCTATCCACCCACAAACTCAACTGCTGGCTTACTACTGTAGCCAATTCTAGGTTTGATAGAGTATAGGATCTCAAATAGGCCATCTAGTCAAGGTTTTGTCTTTAGATGCCAATATATGTGCCTTATTGCTTATACAAATATGTGAACAATTGTGGATAATCTCTCTTAACAGCCACCACCAAAGGCAATGTTTAGTACTGGTCAGTGAGAGATACGACAATTTGAGCAATTGTAAAGCGCAATGACATTACAAGCATAAGCAAGAGAAAGATAATTCCAGCATATGGCGGAGTGAATGTCTGGCAGAGTTGCGGAGATATTACACTGCTACCATGCCACTATGTTGGTGTGGCCACTGGCCAGAACACTGCTATTCTGCACGTGGGGTGGGTGCTGAGGTGAAGAAGATGCTGTACACGCAGAAAGTGTTAACTATCACCACAAGTTAGAAAGCAACTCGATGTTGCATACTGCAAACTGATGCGAACAAACAGACACCATTTAAGGAGTTCACTAAACTCTCAACAATGGAAGAAATGAAAAAAAAAACTTTGATAACTTAAGTTGGCAAGCAGTAACATCATAGTCAAAGCAGCCCTTCCAAGCAAATTATCCCACTGGTGCAAAGAAAAAGCATGGATTAAAACATTGTTTTGAGAATTCATAAAATTGTACAACTCCAGAAATTACAAAACCTGAGCAAGAAGGATGGTATCAAGCAAACTTGGGCCATCTTGTTCAAAGCATGCAAGGCTTTCAAGTTTATCATTTCTGTGTTCTGCACCAAATCGGTATAGATGTATCTTCACACCTGAAGATACAAAGAGGAGTTTAAGACTAGCATCACAAAAAAAAACTGAATACATCAGTTATTCTAAATGCAAATACCAGCGAGAATAGCTGATTTGGTTCTACAAAATTGTCTAGGTGTTTTAATGTTTTATCTAAACCAACCTATTCAAGAATCAACCAGGCACATATTATAAACTGAAACTGTAACATGACTAATCGATGCAACTCATAAAATAGAGAATTTTACTACAGAGAAGAGGAGGCAAAAAACAGAAAATTAGTAATAAAAGAGATAAAAACCATTTGAAAGCAACTACTGCTTACCTTCAGATTGATCCAGATGAGAGTCCTTTCTCAGAAACGAATATTCACCTTCTACCTTGGTGGCCGACACCATAGTTATGATGCTTAGTTTATGCAATACTATCTGAATATCTACAATACTAACAATCCTAATTCAGGCTTCAGCACCACCACCACCACCACCAGCAGCAAGGTAGGTCAAATCAGAAGGATGCCCCCCTGCAGATGGGAGGGCACCACGACCACCGTGAAAAGAAGGGGATGCAAGTAGAAACTTAGGAAAGCACTGGGCACATTGTCTTCCCCTTCGTAGTGTAGTACGGGATCCTATCCTTGGAGCCGTGGTTGATCTTCTAAAGCCAGCCCTATTGGACCAGCTATCCACCTTTGCTAGTCCAACTTAGTTTTTCAGGGGCTTCCCAAAGAAGCTTGAATTGTAAAATGCAGTGTCTTTTGCTGGACAATCTGAAAAGGAGCAAGATTCAATGTCGGGTCAAAATCTTAGCAGAAGTCTTGAGAGAGAACATTGTTTGAGGTTGAGAGTAATCTTCCAACATGTTTTATCTATGGAGGACATATAATATGATATGCCTAAACAAAGTGGCAAACACTAGAAATGCTATATCAAATCAATAAGCAAGTATTTTTCTGTTTATAAGTTCACAATTGGTGCTTTGAAGCCTCTGCAAAACCGTATTTCCAGGCCTTGAGCAAACTGAATAATACATATACATTGCTCCTTAAGTAAAGGATGACATGACGCAGTGACAAACAACAGATGAGCATGTCAGACTGTCTGCACATGACTGATGCCAACAAGTACGACACATTTTCCTAACATTTGAAGTCTTGAACTCTACAGAATGCAATTCTGAATATGCTTTCATGTTATCTAATAATATGATGCCTGCACACATTCTCATTCGCCTAGACTGATAGCATGAGAAAGGGTAGTAAAGATAAACCGTTAACATTTATCACTACAATGTAACAAGCCGGCTAAAATCAGGAGCTCCCAATTGATCATCGATCATCAATTTCCGTAACTCGAGAACACAAACGCACACATAATCAGAATTCCGTCCCTAGGAAAACAAATCTCTTGATAAACCCACACAGTTATCAGATCGTTCCATGACGCCCAAAGAACTTTTTTTTTTTTTTGCAATGCTCCTCCTAATAAACTCGAGCGATTGAATCAAAGTGAATGAATCAGACTAAACTACAGACTAGTCCCGCCCACTCGCTGACAGTGCGACAGCGGTCCCGTCCGACGGCCATTCGATCTGGCACCACCATCCAGGCATCCACCCATCGCCAAGAAACAATCTGGCACCAACGTCTAGGCATCCAACCACGAACACGTGCAGTCTTTTGCTACCAGGAGACGTGCAGTATATTGCTACGAGGAGAGCGACCGCACGAACTGGGAGATTCCGATAAATCAAAGCGGATCAAGGAGGGGCGGATTGGATGAAGAAATCGGTACCCGGAAGCCAGAAGCGAGGCGGAAGCGTCGCTCGGGCGCGTGGTGTCCGTCCAGGAGGAGATGGAGATGGAGGGGGAGGAGAAACGTGTGGCCGGTGGAGTTGGACTGTTGGAGACTGCAAAAGTGGTGGAGTGGCACTCGGCTTCTTTCTTCAACAAGAAAATCATGCCAAAACATGTTTATTTTCCTTTTTACCTTTTTTTTCTTTATAATCATTATTTCTTGGCCTTTTACCAACCCTGGTGACTGGCTTTTGGCAATCATTATTTTTATTTTGAGAAAAAAATCAAAAATAAATTATTGTTTTCATTTTATTGCTATAATCTCGTCATATACTTTGTAATTGTTTGCTCATGTATTTATGAGAAAAGCTAAGAGCTAACATTTGAACAGACAAGTCAAAATTATCAATCATTTTGTAAATTTTGGCTAGTAAGAGAAATTTGTATATTTGAGGCCCAAAGAAATAAGTATCACATTTTGCCAGACTCAACCATTTTTTTTTTCGGAACTTCAAACACTAGGGCTTCTCTATTTGCAATTCTGGTTATTATATACATTGGTCCTATTTAGTCTTGAGTTTAGCTCCAGATCCAAGCTTTACCTTATATATCTGAAATTTGTATATTATATAACTGCATATCTCACTTTTTGAGAGTCAAACTTTTTAAGTTTGACCAAACATATAAAAAATTATCAATATTTAGTATGCATAATAAATATTATTAGATTAATCGTGGTAAATATTTTCATAAACTTATTTAGATATACAAATGTTGATATTATTTTCTATAAAGTTAGTCAAACTTCAAAAAGAAATTGATTCCTCGAAAATTGAGATGTATGGTTATTTTGAGAAGGAGAGACTATTTAGTAGATATAAGCAAAATCGTAATCTTTTACCATGGCAGTTCTCCCTTCATATAAATAGTTACCCATGTAGCCGGTTTGACAACTTTGGATATACAAAGATTTATATTCAGTTCCATTTCTCTACACTTGGAATTTGCATACCTCCAAAGTACACTGGAGAGGATCCGAGTATCCATATAAAACTTTTGTTGGGCCCCTTAGGGCGCCGCTAAAGTATGTTGTAACGAACATTTTGTCTACCTTAATACAAAGACGCGCAAACTTTTTGCGTGATCAAGAAAAAAGTACCTTGCTTTAGTTCTCGTTTTAAGTCTCACCCATATGGGTTTCTAGTAAGCTAAATCCAAATATCATTACATGTGCTTTCATAAATCTTATATTAAATGTTGTAGCTATAATGTAACAGAAAACAGTGATTAGAGTTATTACCATAAAAATCAACGATTTTTTTTTGAACGGTCAAGGGAAGAGAGAGGACACTTTGTCCCCACATGAAATCCTTATTGATTGATTAACCAGGGGCAAAATAACACAAATGTTTTGCACTAGGTGTAGGGCAAGGTGGTAAAGTAGAGGGGAGGGATTTTTGGAACTAGATCAACATGCATCATTTAAAAAAAAAAACTTGACCTTAGGGAAAGTGTCCCTTGAGATATGAGTATTTTATTAAGAATACAGCGAGTGACCTTAGGCAAAAACAGAACCATGAACGGATGAACCCCAGCTATCAAATAGCATAGCGAGCGACCTTTTTTTGTACACATGTTCTCGTTACATGCGTAATATACGAGAACCATTCAACTCGATGTATTGATCTCGGGATGAAATAAAATATTTATTTTCAAAAAGAAAAAAGTGATAACTGTCTGGACCTCAAGTGTGTCGGCGATTCAGACATTGAGAACAAGGCCAGCTGTTGGGCCGTCTGTCGCGTAGGAGCCCAGAAGCAGAAGACTGAACAAGCGCTACTACGGCCCAGAGTGGAGCAACAATGCCCTGACGCCTGTAGAATGTGCTCACCGCCTGCGCACGGTTAAAAGGGAAGCCAGCGGCTCTCTCCAAGGAAATCTGACCTCGTCTAGTTTCTGTCTCCTCCTCCCCAACTCTGTTCTGTATCGGTTGCTATTGCTATCAATAACTTGATTTATTGATGTGGCGAACTTCTGCCAAATCGTGTGTTGGATTTTAGTTTGAGCGCACACTCTATCTTTTCTTCAAAGACAATCAAACACATCAGTGTCCCCCCCCCTGACTCATCTCATACATCATCAGGAGACACTAAAGTTCAGGGATTTATTCATCAGCCGCCAGATGTATTGCTGGTCTCTGCCTCTCGGTCTGCAGCTGGTGTTGGGTATGCGGCAGGCAGTGGCAGATATACGGCCTCTTCGTTTGAGCTTGTTTGGCTTATAAGCTGTATTTTTTCAGTCAATGAATAGTAATTTTTTTTCGCAACAAATCAGCCAAAAGTACTTTTGGCCATGGCTTATCAGCCAAACAAGCCCAAACGAACAGGGCGACAGTGCGGTTGCAGGAACACAATGCCGCATTGCCCGTCGTTGCGTGCGTCTCTTTCTTCTTCTTCCTCCAGCCGGTGAGGCAGAATACATATCATGGATCTTGTGGCTTGGAGCCCAGCAGTCAGATACTGCGTACTTGCACCACAGTAACCTCCCAATCTTTGCCAATGAATCAGTCAATCAATGTATACATAATATACCCCTAGTCCTAGTCCTCTACACATGTGTGTGTGTGTGTGTGTGTGAGAGAGAGAGAGAGAGAGAGTAGTTGATGCAAAGATCAGCAGAAGCAGAAAGCGCAAGAATTTCTGATTTCTAAATTAAAATGTCGGTGAGAGGACGAGTCAGATTTCTAGCTCAAAGTCAGTGTTCCAAGCTAATGTTCATCTGGAACAAGTATAATAATTTTGTTCTTTACTTTCTGGGGAAAAAATGTTAGCATGTCATGTTCAATTGAAAAACCGTAGTCACTTGCAATCTATCAGCCAGGGCATGTTCATGTCAATACCTCCTTCCATCAAACAAAGAATCTTCATGTATATTTTAATTGCAACGAATGGAATGCAACTGTTACAAGTTCATGTTCCCTACCCACCACAACTATACAAGCATACAATACTCCATATGACTAGAAGAAGTTATGCACCTTGAAATAATTATCACCAAAGCATCATGCAACCTAAACCTACAACCATTACATAACACATCTATGTAAAGGTACAGTTGTTGAACCAACCTTTTAAATTTCTAGTTTGAACTCAACTATAACTGCACACTAATACAAATGAACCTAGCAAGGCTGAAAACTTGTTACTCTACATAATCAACAGTCATGGCTACGTATGTATCCTTTTGATTGTAGTCATCGCTACTTTGACTGCAAAAATACTCTAAGCTAGCAAGTTTCTTTGCTGTAAGTACGCGTAAATATATTCTCCCACAGCACATTGTTCTAACTCTTCTTAGGATCTTGCGCAACTGTTTGTATGGACATGAAATCTGTCAGGATTTTCCCATAGTGGCTAGGTGTTCAATGCTTTCTCCTTTCAACACCTTCTGGACAAGCATCAAAATCTCTGTAACCTGGAAGCATAGCAGAAAAGGTTATGTCCTGTTTAAATCTTAATAGCGCGAGTCATGTTCTTTTATGGAGTATTTATCTTACCCCAGGGTAATGCTTCAAAACTGGAGAATAATGATCAAGTGCAATATAGATTTTTCCCAGAACACTTAGAAGAGTATCAACCTCATCGCCAAGTATATCAACCTGAATTAGGATAAGAAAATAAATCAGATGTCCTCCTTTGGAATTTAATACATCATGAACTTATCATTCTATCTATTTTTTGTGCAGGAGTACTGTGGTCGATGTAGCCTAACAGTAGCAGCTTAATAAAGAAAAAAAAACTTTAAAACAAGACTAACCTCTGCTTCTGCTTTCCGAAGATTTGAGCATTTAATCTCAAGTATTTGCTTATACCAGAATTCTTTTTTCCTTAAGACAACAACTTGCTGCACCAGTGGGCTAAACTGACAAACTAGACTAGTCAACCTGCACATATTTTTTTACAAAAGAAAATGAACGTTTGAATAATATACTGAAATACAGAAAATATATGACCAAGTTGCTACTTTGCACTAACATACAGATGACTAAAATACAAGGAGTGTCAGGATGCTCTTGTCAAAACTCAAAAGAGTCAACGAGCCTAACTGAGCACGTGTGGTTCTAGATTAAACAAGCAAGTAAGCAACTACAGAGAAATGTGAAAGGATATAAGTTAACTTACACACCTGGTTTCATTTCTTTTCATAGTTTCTACTAATCTGCTTTCAAAGTCGCTATATGTTTTTGACAATTTCTCCATACTGGCAAGATCAAATTCCCCAGTCCATCCCCAATGACTGTCAATACTTTGTGCTGGTGTTTTCTTCATTTCACGGATTGTGGCATCAAGTGAGGCATTCTGTTCCTTGGCTTCCTTCAAAGCAATAGACATAGAAGTTAAGTTTTCAGTCAGCCCAAGTATTTCTTGCTTGCATACTTGGATTTCTTGCATAGCCTCATACAAACACCTTTTCATGGAGTTATATTCGCCCTTTGACTCCAATATCAGCAGTTCTTGCTCGCACACTTTCTCCTTAAACATCATAAGCTCGTCATTAACCAAGTTGACTTGGTCATGGTGCTGCATAATTGACCCTGCAATTGATACAAGTTGACTATTTTCATACTTGAGCTTTTGTCTATCTTCATAAATAAAACTTAGCTGGTCTTCTTTTTCATCAAGCAACTCTTTGAGGAAGGATCCCTCCTGATCCATTTCATAAATCTGATTCTCATAATTATCAAAAACTTCCTTGAATACAGACAAATCCACTAAATTGTTCAAGTGCCTCTCAACCTTTAAATCTTCGAGTTCAGCCCTAAGCTTCTCAGAATTGTTTAACAGTTTTGTCTCTGACAGTGAGTACTGGGATGTTGTGCTCTTTGAATCTGATACTTGCAAAGAGAGGTGCTTAACCTCCTGTTTTTTATCAGCCAGCAAACCTCGGAGACGACTATTTTCATGTAGTAGCATACCAATCCTGTCCTTCAATCTGCGCATCTCCTTATTCTCATTACCGTCAAAACAAGAATTCTCTTTCCTTGAGGCTATCTCACCAAGCTTGGAGATGGTCTGGAGCAACTTTGATTTGATGAATTCAAGCTCTCTCTCTTTCTTAAGCGGCAACGAAGCTTTCTCTTTTGCGTGTTCCCTTTTCACCCTGAACAGCTCCTCTGTCTTCTCATGCAGCTCGGACTCGTGCTGCCTTCGCAGCTTTAGCCATTCCGTCTTGAGAAAGTTCGTGATTTCTTCGCTGTGCATGTGCTTCAGGAGGGAAAAATCTGGGATCTGAAGCATAACCTCACTTGACTCAGAAGATTTCTCTGTTACAGAAGGCTCACTATCATCTTTCATCTTCACAATGATCATCTGGTCTTCTAGGACACCGTGGGACTGGTGAGGATGATGAGTACCAGGTTCAGAAGCGACTATAACACTCAGAACATTGTGAAGCTCGTCACGCAGCACCGTGATCTCAGAAACCTTTTCTGCCCAATTCCTGTTCAGAGTGCTGATGCAGTTCTGATGCTCCCATAACTTCATCTCAAACTCCTGGCGCAGACCGCAAACGTAGTTCTGAATCAAGATGTCAGAGATCTCCCTCTGCAGCTCATACTCCAACTGTTACAAAAAGAAACAACCACGTGAGCTAGTCTAACTAACGTGGGACGATTTCCCAAACAAGCAAGGATATAGCAGCAAGTAATGCGAAGTGCAGTCATTCATCCTTCCAAGTTCAAAGAAAATCGCACATAACTGTCCGAAACAACGATTCTCCTACAACGGGAATGACAAGGAAAGTAACTGCTAGCAGACCTAATAATACATGAAGAAAAAGTTTGCAGAATTGTTGTTCCAAACCGTGTGGAGCTTGCAATAAAAAGGCGAGAATTTTCTACTAAATAAAAACCAAACCACGCCCAACGTCCTACAGGCTACAGTAACTTGCCGCCAAAAGAAGCAAGAGGCACACACACAAAAATTGTCTCCTCTGTTAAGCAATTGCGACTTCACCTCCGATCCAACACTGACCAGCGGTTACGGTAATTGAGCATCCCCAACCCCAAGCAATGATGTACTACTTATGCTGAAAAATATTATGGACCACGGCCAGCCCATGGAATGGAACCAACCAACGCAAGAACTAAATGGATGAACTGGACCACTTGTACACAGATTCCTCTGCTCCTACCGCACCAAATCCAGAAGCAAACCAAAAACTAACAAGACAACGAGAAACGAATTCATCGCTGGCTGCTGCGCTGCACCGTGGTGTGGTGGCCAGGAGGGAGAAGCACTGAAACGGGAGGAGAGGAGAGTTGGCGAACAGAACTCACCGGGTCGGCGGCCGCCTCCATCTTGCCGTCGCCGGACGGGCGGAGGCGCGGATTACGCGCACGCGCTTCGGCGAGGCCCTCCGCTCCTCTGCTTGCTCCTCCTCCGCTACGAGCTAGCGCTCCTCCCCCGCTCCCTCGCTCGCTGTGACAGTGCTTTCGAAGGTCGCGACGGGCGGGAAAACGAAAGGAGGCGCGGCGCGGCGAGATTCAAGGGAAAGGCGAGGCCCGCGTCCTGTAAAGGCGCCCCCTTTTCGGTGGAGCGTCTTGTTGCCTCCCCGCGCCGCTGCTCGATTGCGCAATCATCAAACGCCAAAACGCTGTGGTTGCTGCCTGTGTTTATGCTTAATTGATTGGAATCGGGAAAAGGGAAATCAGCGCCAGGCAACCGCTCCCTTGTCTCTTCGTTCCTGTGTGGGTGTGGCTGTCAGGCTGTGTGCGTGGAGACTGGAGGGATAGAGAGGAAAGGGAGCAAGAGACGGACAGGAAGGGTGGTGGTTGCTCTGCAGTCTGCGCTCTGCTTTGGCGTGGGTTCACACGGGGCCACGGACGGGGGGGCAAAGACAGGTAGGAAGACGGCGACGCTGACAGGGAAGCGTCGCCTCGGGACGGCGCCCGGTTGGTTCTTGGTTGGAAGCCGCAGCGATTTGTCCGGGATGCCACGGCGTTTGTTGCTGTCCTTGTCGTCGTCTCCTCTTTCTACCGGCGGTCGGTCACTGGCTCACTGCTCTGCTCCGCTCCACTCACGCGGTCACGGGTGCCCCGCTCCACTGCTTCGGGGATCGTGCTCAACGGGACAAGAAAAGTATATTTTCCCCACGTTTCAATTCAAACTTCTTTTCCAAATATATATATATATATATATATAAATAAATTGGGACGTGGATTGTTTTATATACTACTTCCTATGCTTCGAAAAATAGTATTTCGACGAGAAGGTCAAATTTCATATTTATTGCCAATAATTACTCGAATCGTATATGGATGTCTACTGCATAAAAGTTGTATCATTTCACATTGGACATCATATCATAATCTTAATGAGGCCTTTAACGGAGCCCGTGTTTAATCCCCACGAGATGTCGTAGGTAAAAAGGAGGTCCTTAAAATTTTCAAAATAATTCAGAATATATGGCCTTTAATTTGATGTACTCTAATTACCATCGGCTATAATAATCATTGGATCTATTCTACTCTCTCCATTTCATTTCATAATAAGTCGTTTTGACTTTTCTAATAAGTAGCTTTTGTTACACTTAGATATACGTTATGTCTAGATACATATCAAAAGCTATGTATCTAAAAAAATACTAAAATAACTTATAATTTAGAATAAATAAAGTTTTTTTTTCTAAAAAAATAACCCACTTATATTATTACGAATAATACATAAAAGTAACCCCTAAAATTGCATCTAGACTACCCATCGTTGTCGTTATGAAATATAATTCAAAATAAATCTCTAAATCCACAGCCAAATCACCCACATATTCTATTATGAAAAAAAATAATGCAAAGTAACCACTAAATTATCGAACTCTGCCATTATAAAAAATAATCTAAAATAACTCTGAAAATTGCTTTTAATACCCACATTTGTCAATATAAAGGATCTTATAAATTAACCGCTTTAATTTGTACCGAAATCACTTATCTCAACCAAAATATCTCTCGAAGTCTATATTTAAATACAAATATGTCCAAAACTTGTAGGGCCGAGGTTTCACTGTATTCTTAGCACCTTGTGTTATACAAGTCATAAAAGAGAACCATCTCTTCTACTCCCTCTGGTCCAGTTTTATAAAACGTAGTCTAACATACTACGATCTTCTAAATTATACTTTGACCATCCATTTATTTTATATTATATTGTTTGTGATTATCAGATAGTATATGTGATTACAAATCTAATAATATCAAATTTGTATTACAATAATTAGAAATGGTTGATCAAATTATTAGTCAAAGGTTATAAAGTTTGACTCTTGACTCATGTAAAATGTCTTATAAACTGGATCGGAGAGAGTAATTAAAATTATGAATGCACTAAAACTACACACGAACGATCAATCGATATGGATTTAAGTATACAACCATATAGTACGGCGAGTCGTACTGTTAGGTGTTACTGTATAATTCAAGGACTCAGTACTTCTCGGATACACAGAAATAAATGGGAATCCAGTGCCCAACAGCCGTAGCATACGACACCGTGTGTGCGGGGTCAGTGCAATTGACGGCTCCTCCTCTAACTTAACTACTCATATGCAAGGCTGTAGCTAATGACCTAATTAATCGCTGCACATGTTATGATCAATGAGAGAGTTTCTTATTTGACACTAGTCCATCAACCCGTGCTCTCGCACGAGTTAGAATTTCAAGAGATATATTGTTTAATACATCTGACTAATAAAGAATTGTTTATATTAAATTATATGTTTTCTCTTTGTTTATTTTCTACAAATTAGACATAATAGATACTTCATAGGAGTAGTCTATATCTAATTATCATAAATTTATTAATTACTTTTTTTCAAGGGACTGATTTATATGTTTTTCATCTCATCCATATTCGTATTTTTACTTTGGATGGCACCACTATATATTTTAAATATGCAACTAGTTTGAAATCTTGCCATTAACTATGGCGGCCCTTGCTTCATCACAAATCTTATGAAGTCGTGAATCTAAATTTTGATTTTTCAAATTTTATTTTTATTGACTGCTATAGATTTTGTTTTCCTCAAGTTGAAAGTCTTGTGCTTATTATAACTATTATTAACTCTCCTTTTTGCATTTTTTAAGAGTAAGGATTTTAGCTCCCTAGAAATCAATTTGCAGTTGCGGTTGTAGGGCCATGCATAAAACCCTCTTATTTCCATAGACTCAAGTAGAGGCTGGCAGGCTGCTGTGAAAACTGCCTCTATAAATATATTTTGACTGTGTGTAAAAATCATTTGTGGTAGCGTGAGGATGAATAAACTTGCTTCTGTGTACATCTTTGACCATTCCTAAAGCTAAGCTGTGTTATTGGATATATGTTTTTGTTGGATGTCATCAGGGAATAAAAGGGCAAATCCTTTGCCCCGTGTGTAGGGATGAAAACGGTACGGATATTTTCTGACCGTATTCGAGACCGAATCCGTTTAGAGGGGTTTAGATCCGTCATTATCCGAGTCTGGATATTCAACATCTGATACCGTATCCGTATCCGAATACTCAAATCGCATATTTATGATATCGATATCCAATCATATCCTATCCAGTATGGTTGACACTATCCGTATTCGAATACGAATCCGGGCATAAATATGAAAACAAATACAATATCAGTGATATCCGTCCGTATCCGATTCGTTTTCATCCCTACCTGTGTGGCCTCTTCGTATTCCATCATTTGTATGATTGCTACCTAAATGTACGACATTTTGTCTATTTGCTTTATGGGTGCCTACAATTCAGCTTTCACATTTTTTTATTCTATTGAGTTTAGTTGTGTGGTACCAACTTGTCGGGTTCATAAACCCGGGGTCCCTCGGGGACCGGCTTCCACGCCAGGGCTCGGCCCAAGAAAACAGCGTGTAGTTCATGGGCCGGCCCAAGAGTCTAAAACACAACGGGCCGGAAGGACAGTCCGATCGCCGACCGGAAGGTCTACCCAAAGGAACAAACACCCGCTCGTCAACTTCTTCGGCCCACCTCTTCGACCGGAGCACTCGCTTCGGACACCAGCCGCCTCCGGGCGGTCTCTCCGATCGGAAGGCCTGGCCCAAAACGCTGCTTCCTACTCCGACCCCGCGTCTCCGATCGGGGACCCCGTAGGAAGCCTGCTTACCGCTCTTCTCCGACTGGCGCGGCTAGGGCCGACTGGGGCTATCCGACCGGGGACATCCGCTCGGAAGGGACCAGGGGCGAACGGAGAAGGCAGCGCACAAGTCAAACCACAATACCAGGACCATACCCTGTACGCTGCGGGAACAGTGCTCCACAACCGCCCTGACACAAACAGTATTGTAGGCGCCGACATTTGTGTCTACAATATTGTAGGCGCCGTTGGACTCCCGTACGGCGAAAAGCCCCCCACATGCCTCTGGGCATCGATAGTACTGTGGGCGTCAGGATTCACCATACCTGGTACACGCGGTAGGGCTCCTCACATACCAACAGTATTTTGCAGGTACCGACATCTACCCTTCCTGAAGAAGACAATGCAACCTCCCATGTGCACCTGACATTCTACAGTGACATCAACAGTATTATGGGCGCCTATCATCATCACTGTCCTCATCGGCGTGGGCAACAAGGCTTAGTAACATCCATACTCTCTCCCTCTCACCTGTAAAGCCACCCCCTTCATCTATAAAAGGGGATGCACTCCCTCCAACGAGGAGGTCGACTTCTTCAAGTTGAGATTCACTAGATCGATAGCTCATAACCCTTCAAGCACACGCTTAAACACCTAGCTCATAGCGGAGTTTCGGTCGCTCTCGGCCCTTCCGGTCGGACCCGACCGGGCCTCTCGTACACCCCACCTTTCTCCTTCTCGTTTGTAACCCCACTACAGACTTCTAGCACCTGGGCTCAGGAATAAAGTCACTAACCGACCCAAACTGGACGTAGGGCACGTTGCCTGAACCAGTATAAATCACGTGTCATTGAGTGCTAGGCCACCTCCGATCACAACGTACAGCAAAACTACAAATATTCACTAGTTGGTCACTTTCTGTACCGACAGTTGGCGCCGTCCGTGGGGAAGACACTGTACGTTCAACACTTTTTGGTCATCGGATGGCCCATTTTTCCGCCACCCCCGCCATGGCGGGCTCGGGCGATGCGATTCGCTTTGGCTCGCTGGAGTATCCCACACTCTCGCCTGCGGGGATGCGGGTTCCACCTGTTTTTGAGCCATCACAGGCCTTCCTCTTCGGAAGCCTGGACTTCGTCGCCGACCGGCTCGGCGTACTCCACCTTCGCGAGGAGACTCGCGACCCAGCACCCATCGAAGAGACGTCCTCCATCGACTT